AAAAAAAAAAAAAAAGGACCTAAAATGGTTGACAGGTCCTTAATCCGCTTTCTCCCAAGTGCAAAGTGATCTCCCCTGATCGCTGCCCTGAAAGTGTGGGTCGGGGCGCGGGGGCCAGGTTCCCCCTTGACAAAGTTGGATGGGAAACTCTTCCTCCGCGCGCTTGAACAAGGTGCGGTGCGGGGGCTATTTCGGGGGCTGGAGGGGGAGGAGGCCGAGGCGCCGGAAAGCTCGAACTCCCGAGGCCCCTGTCGCTGGTGTCGGAGAGGAAGGGGGCCTTGGGGCCCTGGCCCGGGTGACAGGGCCAGGCACGGAGGGGTCGGGGAAGGGGCCGCGACCTGGGGGGTGGTGAGAGCCAGGGAAGGGGAGGCGGGCGGCTGGACGTGGCCGCTCCCCTCGGCGCTCCTCAGGCCGCAGCCCCATCTCCTGCAGCCCCATCTCCTTTCGCCGTGTGGTGGCCGCTTCCGCGTCCTGTTTTGACGACGGTTTCCCAGAGTGGCGAGGGCGCTAGGCCGAGGGGCACCCGCCCGAACTTGAATACGCAACTTGTGAGGCGGGGGGTGGGTGGGCGACCCCTAACAGGGCGAGTAGGCGGGGTGGGGGGCGGCCTTGTTGGCGGGAGCCCGCGTATCCCGGTGTCCCTTGCCTGGCGACTGCCTTTGCAGGTGGTCCCCGGCCCTCCGCCCTCCCCCTCGCCGGGCCTCGTTGCCCTCAGACTCCCCCTCTAGTTTGGGCAAAGTGGCGAAATCTAGGCCGGGGTTCCGGCCGGGCAGTGTAGGCCTCGCTCTCCCGGGGCTCCTAGCGACAGGCCGCTGAATCGATAGCCTATTGCTCTTGGGGAGGCCGGACCGGGGCGGCGGCGGCAGCGGAGACAGCTGTCCCGGGGGAGGTGCACCTGGTGCCCGAGTCGGGCGGGGAGTAGGTGCCCACTGCTGCACCCTTGTTTCCTGGGTTGGAGCCCAAGGGACCAGTGGGAAGGGGGCGAGGGCTCTCCAAGGGCTGCTTCCTGAAACTGGGTAAGGGGAGGAGGGCTTAAGATGTAGCGTTGCCGCTTGACTTCCGTGGGTGTCCTTCTCGATTTCCTGCATTGAGAAGCTTGAAGGGGGAGCCCAGCGCTGGACGTGGGGCTTCGCTTCGCTGGGGTCTACCCGGGAATGGTTTTCTAATTGTCAGTCATTCGGCAGCTTGCCAGAAACTTCAGGGATCATGGCAAAGCATCTGTCTTCATCACGAGTAGCATCGGAAGTGACAAGGGTCATACAGTACAGTCCGGGGTAGTAGAGAGATAAGACTTGTCTGATCAGTTCTCCATAAGACTTCTGGGCTTTCCCCAGACTTCCACAGGTGGAACTGCCCCGACTTTTCCACCCTAGATTGTTTTCTCACTAGGTAAGTTTGGTTGGGCCTTAGATCTCACCCACTCCCTGCCCCCGCGAAGAAACCTGTTCACCACCACGCCCCGCGCCCCCCAGACCAATGTATAAAAAAATTTTTTTTTAATTTCAAGGAGAAATGTAGAGACAATCTCTTCAAAGTCTAAGCTTCCAGTTTCCCCCATCAGGCTTCCTCAGTTTACCTACATAATATTCCACTCTGCTCTCCACACCCATGTATTCCTGTGGAGATGTTCCCCTACACAAAGAATCTTTTAACCACTGGGCAAGGGCTGCTCATCAACTCGATGGCAGCGCTTGAATTTGGCTTTTTGGTATTCACATCCAAACTAATGTTAATGAAATCACAGTACAGTCACACATTGCCTGGTTTTACACATTTTAAATAGCAGGTTTACTGAGATATAATTCACGTGCCATACAAATTACGGACTTAAAACGAACACTTTAAAAGGCATTAAAAAAGCCGCCTCCATTTTCTACCAGTGAGGACTTCCCTTGTCCATGTGCAGGTACTTCCACTAAGTCCTCAGTGAATCCCATTTTCTCCTCTCTTGCTAGTTGGTTTCCTTTTATTTGATTTTTAACCTCCAGAAGAGATGGGCTCTTTCCACTGGACAGATTCTGGCAAGCCTAGTTCTAGCCAACCATTTCCTTAATTTTCCAGGCCTGAGCTGCCACTTTCCATCAGTACTTCCTGGGTTCCAACTTCCTATGTCCCTTGCCCCTCCCTCTCCTCCCCACCCCCCTCCACGTACTCCTAGCCCAGTTCTTCCTGTTTCCTTTTTATCCACTGCCTTTGTTCTTAAAGTTCTAGTTGACTTCCACTAGTCCGGTCTGCTGCCTCAGATAGACTTAGCTCTTCTTATTTACTTTTTTACAACATATTAAGGGAAAGTTCTTCCTGTTAACCCCCTTTAGAATCATAATACCCCTTTAGCAGCCTGTTAAAGTGAATCAAAGTTTGCTGAGAAGTCCCTCCATGGTCCAAGTTGAAAACCATTTAAGGCATTAAATGCTAAGTTTTCTCTCTTTGAGAATTGTTCCTCAGTAGCAGTAAACTGGGGGAGTCATTTAATGGGAGGAAGGCATTAAGGCATTTTGAGATTAATGTTGCTTATGTCCAGTGTTTTACCGTAATGTAGTGGGACAGCAGATTCTGAGATGGCAATGAAATTATTTCAAGTATTTTTGTTGTATCTTGCCTGGATTGGGTCAAACAAACAGAAAGCAAATCAAATTAAATAAAACGAACCCCAGACTGCCACCCAGTCAGTTTTGACTCCTAGCAACCCCATTGCAAAAAATGATTAAAAGGATAGATTTTCATTTTTAAATGGGCAGGCTTGGATGATTTTCTCCACATTTCTTATAACTGACACATCTGATTTGATAGACTTAACTGAGACTCGGGGCAAAAATACTATCTTCAGGATTCCTATATGCAAGATATTATGGTGGGTCTTATAAGATACTCTTGGTATGGGCTCAAGTAGAAAGAAAATGTTTTGAGAATGATGATGGCAACAAATGTACAAATGTGCTGACACAATGGATGTCTGTATGGACTGTGATAAGAGTTGTACGAGCCCCCAGTAAAATGATTTTTAAAAAATTACTATTGGTTAAGGAGCCATCACTTCACTTTTATAACTTAACCTCTTTTCCAGGGTGCAGTTAGGCCAGAAGGTATTAAGAGAATAGACCAGAGAAAGGAAGGCGAAGTGGTACTTGGCTTAGAATAGAGATTGGTGATAGCAACAAGTGGGAAAAGGATTGTTTGGCATTTTAAAATATTACAATCGCTTAACCTAAACCAAAATCAAGCTCACTGTCATCAAGTCAATTCAGACTCCTGGTGACTTTGGAGGACAGAGTAGAACTGTCCCTATGGGTTTCTGAGACTGTAATTATCTGCAAGAGTGAAAAGCCTGATCTTTCTCTTGATGAGCAGCTGGTGATTTTGAATGGCTGACCATGCAGTTAGCAGCCCAATGCTTACCCCCTATGCCATCAGGGCGCCTAATTTAGTGCTTTAGTTTTCTTTGTGGCCCATCAGAAAAACAGCACTGTAATGTCATTGTGGCATAGCAGACATATGCATTACCATCACTGCTGTGTAATTAATTTGGATGTGTGACTAATGAAGTTGCTAGTCTTTCTGAGTTTGTTTGATGATGTATGTAATGGGCATACCAGCGTCTACCGGAAGGGCTGTTTGGGCCAAATAATAGATTGGGTGCTGATCTGGGCTCTCAGAAGAAATGCTGGGTTTGTTCTCTTTCCTCTTTGTAGGGAATAGCATATGATGTCATTGAAAATGATGATGGCAAAAAATGTACAGGATATCCTGAGTTTACCTTTTAAGTCCAGTTATTTCTAGTGCTTTACATTCCTTGCCTCCTCCTCCTCCTCCTTTTTCTTAGAATGGGGTCTTTTATGTATTTGCTTATTAACTTCTATGGGAAAACAGATCTACATAGAAAGACCAACTAGAATGCCATGTGTTTGTGTTTGTTAGTAATAAGCTAAAATAAAGATTCAGCTTTTGGGGCATAAGAACTACTGTGATACTGTTAACCCCTAGATTGAGTTTAATGAACTGGGACCTGTAGAACTAGTGGATTAATAACCTGCAGACATCAAGTTTTGAGTTGTAGTGAAAGATTAGTATTTATGGCTAAACATCTTCAGAAACTTTTCATGTAAAATCAGCAACTATGCTGTTACAGGAATAAAGGTAATTATTAAGTATTAGTAGTAAACGGGGAGAGGCAGTTAATTGATTGGGCATAATATTTATAAATGGGTATAACCCAAGCCCATTGACTGCCATTGAGTCCTTTCTCACAGTAGAACCATAGGGTTTCTAAGGCTGTAATCTTTATGGAATCAGACTCTTATCTTTCTCCTGCTGAGTGGCCCGAGCAGTGGTTCTCAACCTTCCTAATGCTGCAGCCCTTTAATACAGTTAGTTCCTCATGTTGTAGTGACCCCCAACCACAAAATTATTTTCATTGATACTTCATAACTGTAATTTTGCTACTGTTATGAATCATAATGTAAATATCTGATATGCAGGATGTATTTTCATTGTTACAAATTGATCGTAATTAAAGCACAGTGATTAATCGCAAAACAATGTTATTATATATTGTGAAATATTTATTTCTAATGTCAAATAAATGAAATTTTGTCTTGAAGCATGGCATAGCATGGGTAACAAGTTTTCACGCCAGGTACCCGTATGTGGGCATATCTGCATGTGGACGGACCCACCTGGAGACTGATAGAGGAGTGCTGTCTTGGTCCCTAAGACCATCGGAAATGGTCTTAGGTGACCCCTGTGAAAGGGTCGTTCCATCCCCAGAGGGGGCGCGACCCACAGGTAGAGAACCGCTGGGCTAGAGGGTTCAAACAGCCCAATGCTTAACTCAGCTTAGCCTACCAGGACAGGGCTCCTTATAAATGGGCATAAGTAGCACTTTTCTATTTCACATGGACTTGTTAATTTACTAACCGTTATAAGAATCTACTGTTGTTCGGTGCAGTGTAGTTGATTTCCTACTCGTATCTATCCTGTGTAACAATAGGATTTTTGTAATGATGGCGTGGGAGGCCTCTGACATCCTCTAATTACACTAGGGAGAAGGAGAAACAAGATAAAAAGCCCAAGGTTGAGCCCTATTATAAGGTGGGAGGTCAGTCATATCTCCTCTCTCCAACCTTTTTACCTATTCTGACACCAGTAGTCTTTGCCACAATACTCTCTACTTCTCTGCTGGGTTTGATAATTCACTGTCATGGCCATTCAGAACTCAGACAGTACTCAAAACTATGGAGTTTTAGTTTATTAGGGAAATGACATATTACAATTCAGGATCTGGAATGAATCAATACAGATCTACCCACAGGCAGGCCACTCCCTGCTTCTTGGCCCTGCTTTCTTGGCTTCACAGCCTACCTCCGTCCTCTTAAACAAGTGTGAACAAAGCTCTTTTTGCACTGCCATTAAGTAACCATAGGCATCCAACTCCACCTATAAGAGTTCTGCTCAACTTTCTTATTCCATGGGTCAGGAAGTTCCCTGAACCCCTGCCTGTCTCCTGGTTCTGCTGTTGAGGCACCATCTTTGCTAGTTTTTTCTCTGTCTCCTGCATCTGAGAGGTTCTCAGTAGGGACCCCAGGTCCAAAAGATGGATCCTGCTCCCATCTTTTTTTCCTTGACTCTGTTCGCTTCTCATTTGATCTTTTGTAAGATTAAAGGTGTGACTCAATGGTGCTGAGTTGACTGAGGTAGGTGACTTGAATGTACTCCACCCTAGTCTTGCCTCATTAATACAACAAATAAAACCATCTTCATAGTAGAACTGAATCCTGCCACATTAGCACATAGAGGTCAGGATTTATAACACGCAATGGCAGATAATTACATCAGCTCACAAAATGGAGGACAATTACAATATACTGGGACTCGTGGCTTAGCTAAATTGACACTTAACTCAGCTATCACAGGTTCCACATACCTTCTTTGCATCTTGGAGATTAATATGTGACTCCCACACAGTAATCTCCCAATTGTGTGGGAGTCACAAAGACATAGTTAGAAGGGCCATATTGCAGTTTGCCAGGGTACAGTCTTTTTGAGAGTAGATCTATGGGGCTTTCTTTCATGGAGCCTCTGGGTGAGTTTGAGCTATCAGTCTTTTGGTAAGCAAATGAGTGCTCAACTATTGTGCCACCAGGGCACCTACAGGATCCACTGTAATCGTATAAAGAGATTAGGTGCATGGACTTAGAGTTGAACTGCCTAGGGGTGAAAACCAACTCAAGAGTTTCGCCCCAACCGGTTGTCCTCTTGTCAATTCCAGCTCATGGAGACTTCATATGTGTTACAGTAAAACTATGTTCCATTGGAATTTCAATGGCTGATTTTTTGAAATAGATAACCAGGCCTTTCTTTGGAAACTCCTGAGCAGACTTAAACCTCCATCCTTTCAGTTAGCAACCAGAGCTCGTTAGCTGTTTGCACCACCCAGGAGTGCTGCTAGCTTAGTTACTTTGCATAGGTAACATATCCTTCTCTCTAATCCTGTTTCCTTAGCCATTACATAATGATAAAATTACTTGACCAAGTCAAGTTATGGTGAAGGTTGAATGAAAGAGTACTTGCCAAGTTTAGGAATGTGCAATGTTTCAAATATTGCTGTGAATGCTGCTGCTACCATTATGGATCCTGTTATTGTTACAATATGAACAGCTTTTAGTAGATTGATACCTCCTTATCACCTTCGACATTCAACATTGATTATACATGGCATAGCACACTAGAAAAAACTGAGAACAATCTCCATGAGCTGAAAAGCCTAAACTCAGTAATAGTATGTCATCAAAGTATTTTCTTCCTTTTTTTCTTTTTTAACTTTTAACATACTTTATTGGCTTGGAGGCCAAACATGGCAGCAATTGGTCATTTGAAGAAAGGCACCTCATTGAGAACAGTACATCACAGTGCTGTCGAGTGAGCCCAGTCACAGGATTTGAGGATGGAAAGGACAATCTTTGGATGATATTGCTCAGGATACTTGCATACATACTAAAAGGGCTTCTTCACACATCGTAAAAGGGCAAAGTGCAGTATCGTGGCGTGTGCTGTATGTCCGCTGGGAGTTAACCCATGACCAGAGCAGGCAGACAGGTCAATCCGTGGCAAGCTTGGGAAAGAGTGAAAGCATTGTGCCCACCCCTCCCGAGGCCTCCAGGACTTGATTTGCTGAGCCACCCTCCCCATGAACACTCCACGCGTGGAGATGATTTTTGGATCTCATGGGGGAATCAGGTTCAGTAGTCAAAGTCTCCTTATACCAAGCTTTAGGGCAGACAGTATAATAGTTCATTTTTCTACATTTTTGGCTGGAAGCCCATGAGGTTCTGAGAGAGAAGCTGAGGTTTTAAGGTACTGACTTTATAAAAAAGTATTGTTACCAGTACTAAGTAATTGAAAACTGGATTTTGTAGAAATTACAATACTGTACCTCCCTATTTCTACCCACACCACTCAATCGCAGTTTGTTTTTTTAAAATTCATGTCCTCCTTTATACTTTTACAAACTCCCACTGCTGTGATAAAAGAAACTGCCTCATTACAGTAACACAGCTGCTCTCCCAAACCCTCCTCTGGAGCCCTTGACCACCTCCCTCTCTGCCCAGCACTGAAGAGCAGGGATCACACAGCGGGTGAGGAGCAACGGTGCAGTCTTGCCTGGCTTCTGTTACTAGGTGTGACTTTGGAGAAGGCTGCTAGCATGCTTGCAAACTCGACGTCAGGGGTCTGGGAGGCATCGATAGCACAGTGGATGCTCCGTTTCCAGTAGTAGTCCACCAGTGGGATGGTCTGAGTGTGGTAGGACTCCAGGCGGATCTTCAAGGCCTTCTCGTTATCATCTGATCAGCGGACCAGAGGCTCCCCAGTGATAACATCTTTCATGGGCTCCTTTGGAGGGTTGAACTCCTCATGGTAGGAATGGCCACTCATTGGGTGAATCAGCCTTCCTGTGATTCTCCGGATGAGTAGAGAGTCTGGGGTACAGAATTCAACCCCAGAATTAAGCTTCTCTTTCTTCTTGACTATGAGGTTGTCGAGCATGTCTGCCTGCCTTACAGTCTCCGGGGGAAGCCATCTAAAAGAAAACCGTTCTTGCATGAAGGGGTCTCCAAATTTTTCTCAATGAACTCCACCACCATTTTGTTGCTCACCAGTTTTCCAGCATCCATTGTTGCCTTTAGCTTTTTCTCCAGCTCTGAGCTAGAAGCTAATATAGCCCTCAGCATGTCCCCAGTAGCCAAATGACAGACACAGGAGTTTTCAGCCAATCTGGGAGCCTGGGTACCCCTGCCAGCCCCGGGTGGCCCCAGCAGCACAGCCCAGATGCCTTTAGGATACTTTTGGGCTGGTTCGTCGGCTGGAATGTTGGGAGCCATGCCTGCCAAGACCTTTGGTTACCTCTCAATCCCACAAAGTATTTTCAAGCTTCACATAAGTGATAAAAACTGTATGCTTTGTGTAATTTGAATTTATTAATAGTCATATCCTGTTTAGTCATGAGATATATGACATGTTAGAAAGTCCAGAATACATTTTATATGAATTTGTCTAAGAACATCCAAAGTAAGGTGTGTTTGACTGTAGCTAGTTAAAACTTAATTTTTCCTCTTTATTAAAGCTCTTCATGTGTTTAACTAGGCGCAGGCGTCCTCAAACTACTGCCCGCGGGCCACATGTGGCCCGCCGAGGACATTTATCTGGCCCATCAAGTGTTTTTGCCCGTTTGTTTTTTTACTTCAAAATAAGATATGTGCATTGTGCATAGGAATTTGTTAGTTCTTTTTTAAACTATAGTCCGGCCCTCCAACGGGTCTGAGGGACAGTGAACTGGCCCCCTCTTAAAAAAGAGGACCCCTGAACTAGGGTGAACTTCTTGGTCTCTTGGTTGGTTTTTATCTGGAGAAATATGGCCAGTGATGGGGCATGTTGCTGATCTTGAAAAGCTCTCAAAATATAAACATTTTGGACAAGGTTTGGGGGAATTGATTCTTGAATTTTTTTTTTTTACTGATGAGACATTGATTTGAAGATGATAAATTTTATTCTTCACTCCATTTTTTAATTCAACAAATAGCTTTTGAGAGTATCTTATTTATCTCCGTCCCACTGAAAGTGTGTTGATTCTGACTCACAGTGACTTTGTGGGACAGGGGAGAACTGGCCCTTTCGGTTTTTGAGATTAAGTCCTTTTAAAAATTATTTAAAATTTTTTAATCTAATTTTTTTTATCTGAGAGTAAATCTTTAGTGGAGCAGACAGCGTCATCTTTCTCCTGTAGAGTGACTGGTGGTCAGTATACAACCCACCATGCCACCAGGGCTTCTATCCTGTTTATAATACAGGAGCTGTTAGGACAGAGATGATGAATCCAGTGGAAGTTATGTTTTCAAGAAGTATGCAGTTTAGGTGCTATTAGTTCTCATTTATATAGTGCATGTCCCCCTTTTGACTTTCCCCTCTGCTTTATGATACCTTTATAAAACCTCGGCTTTATAGATATTTTTTTATCTCTGGTTCACAGCACTTGATGTAGCAAAAATACCTTTGAGCATTCGTGGAGAAGAAAAGAAGGCACGTCAAGCCTTACAGGACTTTGCTATGAAAAATTACAGGCATAATGATGAAGTAACAAATATTTATAGATAACATGTTATTTGTCCCGTTTGTTCGTCATTTAGTTAATTGATATCTATCCATGATTGGTAAACTTAGAATTATACCTGGGCTTGTTGCTTATGCCTTAAAAAAGTTCTTACCAGTACCACCAGTTGCTGTTGAGCTGACTCCAACTTATAGCGACCCGGGTGTGTCAGACTAGAACTGCGTTTCATATAGTTTTCAATGGCTGATTTTTTGGGGGTAGATCACCAGACTTTTCTTTGTAGGTATCTCTGGGTGGATTTGAACTTCCAACCTTTGGTTCACGCTACCTAGTAAGGTTAGTTTGACAGGTGACCACCAATCATTAACTATCCCATCAGAGAGCTGTCTTTATGTTCAGCATCTTTATTTGATTTATACTAGTACTGTTTTGACTGCTGTGCATTCCTAAAGAGATGAGTAACCCTCAGTTATAGGTAGATCATGGATACCAGACTGAAAAGAAGTATCAATTGAGGTAGAAGTGTGTGCCTGTTCTTGGGTTTTTGGTGGATTAGGTTGTAAAGTACAGTCGGAATCATTTTGATGAGGGAAGCTTTATGGACCAGAAAACTTGAGGCACAAATGGACATGATTCGGAATTCTGAGTTAAAGTAGGTGTGTTTATTTCCTCGTGCTTTGAGTTTGGTTAAGAGGAACATGCTGTAAGAGCACTGCCGTTGTTAATAAGCACAGCACTTTAGCTTTTTTCTTTTTCTTTCCCTTTTTGATGATTTCCAGAAAGAAGCAAATGATTGCTTTTCTTTTTATATTAGTCCAAATTTATATGCCCAAAGGTAGAATTCAAACTTTTAAAACAAAAGCAACTAAGATTGTAATTCAAATAGATTGTAAGGCTAAGGAGGGTATGATTCTGTTTTTAATTTTTCACACTCTATCTTACTTAAAAAGTACTGTCTTTTATCATCAAAGAACTGAGTCTGTTAGAATTAATCCTTAGATTATTTTGAAACTGTGAAATCTAATTTATTTTTCTCGTAAATTTTCTGACCTTTAAGTTTTTTATTTTAAGATATACGGATTGTTGTTGTTAGGTGCTGTACAGTCAGTTCTGATTCATAGCGACCCTATATTCAATGGAAGGAAACACTGCCTGGTCTTACGCCGTCCTCGCAATGGTTATGGTTGAGCCCATTGTTGTAGCCACTCTGTCAGTCCCTCTGGTCAAGGGGCTTCCTCTTCTTTACTCCCCTTTTATGTTACCAAGTGTGGTGTCCTTTTCCAGGGACTGGTCTCTCCTGATAATGTCCAAAGTACGTGAGACAAAATCACGTTATCCCCTTTTCTAAGGACTGTTCTGGTTGTGCTTCTTCCTGGACACGTTTGTTCTGTAGGCACTTCATGGTACTTTCGATGTTCTTTGCGCCATAATTTAAATGCATTGTTTCTTCTTCAGTGTCCAACTTTCACATAAATATGAGCCTATTGAAAATGCCAATATAGCTTGAGTCAGGCACACCTTACTCCTCAAAATGACATTCTTCCTCTTCAACACTTTAAAGAGATTTTTGTACAGCAAGATCACCAAATGCAATGTGTCTTTTGGTTGCTTGACTGCGTCTTTGGTGAGCATTGATTGTGGGTCTAAGCAAGAGGAAATCCTTGACAACTGCAATCCTTTCTCTGTTTATCATGATGCCGTCTCTTGGTCTAGTTGTGTGAGGATTTTCTTCTTTATATTGAATTGTATTCCATACTGAAGGCTACAAGCTTTGGTCTTTATCAGCAAGAGTTTCAAGTTCTCCTTATTTTCAGTAAGCAAAGTTTTATCATCTGCACAGCAAAGGCTTTTGATAAGCCCTCCTCCAACCCTCGATGTTCAAGTTCTTCCTCATATAGTAAAGGCTTCTCTGATGATTTGCTCTGCATACAGATTAAATATGGTAAGAGGATGCACCTTTCCTGGTTTTTAACCACACAGTATTCCCTTGTGTTTGAATGACTGCCTCTTGATCTATATATAGATTCAGCATTAGCACAAAGAAGTATTCTGGAATTCTCATTCTTCTTAAAGTTACCCATAGTTTGTTTTGATCCACACAGTTGAATGCCTTGGCATAGTCAATAAAACACAGGTATATGTCTTGCTGGTATTCTCTGCTGTCAACTAAGATCTATCTGACATCAGCATGATATTCCTCATAATATGTTTTCTTTCGCATCTGCCTTGAATTTCAGGCAGTTCTTTGTTGTTGTACTGATGTATCTGTTGTTGGATGATCTTCAGAAAAATTTTACTGTAATCTGCACATCCTGTTGGATCATCTTTCTTTGGAATGGGTATAAATATGAATGTCTTACAGTTGATTGGCTAGGTAGGTATCTTCCAAATTTTTTGGAAAAGACAAGTAAGTGCTTTATCAGCTTATTGAAACATTTCAGTTGGCATTTTGTCTATTCCTGGAACCTTATTTTTTTGCTACTGCCTTCAGTACTTCTTTCTTCAGTACCCTGGGTCTTGCTCATATGCTACCTCCTGAAAAAAGGTGGAATGTTTAGTTCTTTTTGGTACAGTGACTCTATGTATTCTATCTTTTTTTAAAATGTAGCTATTTTATTACTTTATTTTTATTAATTTTATTGGGAGCTCTTACAGATATTATAATATTCCATAATTCCATTAGATCAAGCATAATTGTACAATTGCTACCACAATCTGTTTCTAAATCCTTTTTCTTCTTCACCTCTTTGATATCAGATCCCTTTTATCCCCTCCCTCCCAGCTTTTCATCTAATTTTGATGCTTCCTGCATCATTCAATATTTTGCCCATGGAATCTTTCAGTATTGCAACTTGAGGCTTGAAGTTTTTCTGGAGTTCTTCAGTTTGAGACAGCAGTTCTCAACCTGTGGGTTGCGACCCCTCTGGGGTTCAAACGACCCTTTCACAGGGGTCGCTTAAGACCATCGGAAAACACATATTTCCGATGGTCTTAGGAACTGAGACACTGCTCCTCTGTCGTCTCTAGGTAGGTCCGCCCACATGCAGATAACGCCCACTTACGAGTACCTGGCATGAAGACTGTTACCCATGCTACACCCATACTTCAAGACAAAATTTCATTTATTTGTCATTAAAAATAAATATTTCACAATATATAATTACATATTGTTCTTGTGATGAATCACGATGCTTTAATTATGTTCAATTTGTAACAATGAAAATGCATCCTGCATATCAGATATTTACATTATGATTCCTAATAGTAGCAAAATTACAGTGATGAAGTAGTAACAAAAATAATTTTACAGTTGTGGGTCACCACAACATGAGGCACTGTTTTAAAGTGTTGCGGCATTAGGAAGGTAGAGAACCACTGGTTTAAGACGTGCGTAGCGTGTTCATTCTTTTTGGTTTTCTAATTCCAAGTCTTTGCACATTTTATTATAATACTTTGTCTTCTCTAGCTACTCTCTGAAATGCTCGGTTCAGCTCTCTTAATCATTTCTTCTTTAACACTATGATTAAGAGCATGTACCAGAGTCTCCTGACACTCACTGTCTTTTTAATGAGCTTTTACTTCAAGTATGATATTCTTGATGTCCTTACCAGAGCTCATTAGGCCTTCTGTCGTTGGTGTTCATTTAAGTAAAATCTGTTCTGGAGATAGCCTGAAATCCATGCGGATATATTCAAGGTTGTATTTTGGCTCTTGTGGACTTAATTTTAATTTCAACATCAACTTGAACTTATATTTGAGCAATTGGTCGTTTGT